TTCACATTGTATGGGGGGGGGGGGTTGAGCTGAAATTGCCATCTTGAAAATCATTCAATACAGTTCACAGCCTTGCCTTCTCAAGACTTAAGCCAACGACATTTGAATTAAGTTATTCCATTGGCTATGCGGTGATCAATGCCATTAAAAGTATAATAGTCGAGTCGTTCATATATGGCGTTCGTGAGCACGATTTCCGGATACAATGGCCATCAGCTGGCTCTCAGTCAATGTTGTGCAGGGCACGATGACGTAATCAAATGATGACGAGTTGAAGAACAGGCTTACTAACATAAAAATGGTTTATCTAGAACAGTCTTTTCCGCTTAAAATTATACCAAACTTATAAGTGAAGTTACTTCATCGTACCTGATGTTTGCTTCAGTATTTTCAAATGTGGAATATTCGCTTTGATCGAAAACGCAAATGCGAGCTATGTTACACTATCTCTCATGGCCACAAGAACTGTTTCTAATTGAGGATGTAACGAAGAGGCCAAAATCGACTCGTAGCCTAAAACTGGTAGCCCTTAGGCGTGTGTTTTATTTCAACGCAGCTAACAACTTAGCATTGTTCATGATACGTTGTTGAAATTCGTCACGAACCAATTTCTGTCTGCTGGATTTGCATATAGACGACGGTCGGCCGTGCGTGAATGCGTTCATAACCACACATTGTCCAAACGATGCGTGATTAGGCTGGAACATTACTCACACTAGGTAAACACATTTGTAAAATTGCCGATTTCATAAAGGGCATTATTCATACCATCTTGTCATCATGTCGTGTGACGGCCTGCGTGCATGCGCTTCCGAGAGGCATTTCGCGTAGCCTTTCAGGGCTCTCCGACCATCGTGTGACGCGGCCTGTTGGCTGCCACTTTTAATTCCGTCTGAAGCGAAGATTTAATTGCACTCTGATGATGCGTAATCCCAAAGTTTGCCTTTGCCTGTTAACCCGAATATGTGCGAACACGGGAGGGTCGATTTTTCAATAGGAAGATCCGATGCCAGATTCTATCACACCTCGCACCGAGCCGGCGCGGAGTCCGCGCGGCTCGACTTTGGCCGCGCGCGTGCCGCGAATGGGTGAATGCGCCCGGCGAATTCGCTTCCGCTGTGGCAGGTGGCCGGTCCCCTTCGCCGCCGTGATGCGGGTTTATTAGAGAGGGTTCATCAATTCGTAATGAGGGTAACACGACGGCCAGCTGTGATTGGCCGAGAGCCGACCGGCCGGCCAATAACGAGACCTCGGCAAAAAATGGAGCCCTGACGAACCAGTCTGGCGTCGACGGCACCGGCTTTGGCCGCACAACGCCGCCGGCTATAGCCCCGCGCTCTCCTTCAGACCCGCCAGCCTTTCGTCGTTCCGTCCGTGCCGCCACAGTCGCGGTACGCTATGACCAAGCACGGCCACCCGCCGCCGTCGCGTTCGGCCTGTATGTTCGCCGGCGGCGCCGGGGGTCAGGACGGGGTGGGACGCCTGGGGCGGCGGTGGCGGCGTGACCCCTGACCCCGCAGGGCGCGAACGCAAGCTGCTGCGCACGTGCAGGAGGCGCAGTGGGGCCGTGGTGAAGCACGCGGCGCACAAGGAGAAGCCCGTGCACCTGGTGCAGCGCAGAAACGCCCGCGAGAGACGCCGCGTGCAGGCAGTTAACGTGGCGTTCAGCCAGATTGAGCAAGGTGGTGCCGCTGGAGAGCAGGTAATGCCGGGTGGAGGGAGTCGAGAACTGGTGTCTTTGAGCGGTGCATGCACTGACAATGTTTGATGCTTGTGCTCAGTTTGTGTGACAATGTGAACGGTACATTCGTGAAATATTACGCTGCCTGCGCTTGCGACTTATTGATGTCATACATCACCACCCCCACCACCCGCAACACAAAATTGACACGCGTGGTCAGTCGCTCTAGTGTAGGTGATCGTGCCATCTACGAATCCTTTAAAGCCATAAGACGTTACTTGATGCTGTCCATCCTATTGCGAAGCCCGTAGTGCACCAATGAGTGGCCGATTTCGCCTTTCTGAGTCCATTCTCAAATGTCACTTCCCGGTGCGCACACCTGTGAGATTCGATGACGAGAATGGTGCGAGCGCACGACAAGCCAGATCTCGACCATTTTTGACCCCGCTCGGCAGAGGAAGATGTCCTGCTGGTTTGTAATAGAGTAAATGAAGCCGAATTCAACGGGCAGCAACATACATGCTGCGACAGAATCTTATTTGGTCCATCGTTTTCAGGAATTGTGTTAATTTCAGGCTGACCGAGAAAACAAAATGGCCAGCGCACTTCTTGTGCCTTCATTTCGATCCTCACTTTACACTAACCCGGATGAAATGTGCCATAAAAATGTGATTAAAAAATATCAATCGTTTCTGCCTTGGTTACTTGATCTACCTACCTATATATATATATATATATATATATATATATATATATATATATATATATATATATGTATGTATGTATGTATGTATACGTCCTGCTCTGCCAGTTCGTAGTGGAATACCAACATTCTGCCCTTAGAGGTTTCAGTTCCATTTCAGCTTGCTTCACTTTGGACAACCCGTTCTTCCCGCGCCCTATCGCAAACTCATAATCGACGCATGTGCGATAGTTGTGGGGTAGCCCTACCCTAGGACACTTCGTTGACACGCTTTGTAGATCATATGTTATTCGTTGAGTCCCTCATGAAGATGCGATGTTCCCAACTTATCAATCCACTTACTGTGTCTCTGAGCCTCCTAGGTACCACATTTTTGTTCCACAGCATGTCCAAGCCACCAACTTTTACAGTATTTATGGAGCAGTCACATAGTTAATCCTAAACGCACAGCAATTTTTGGGCGGTAAGAATGGTTTGATGAAAATGGAAGTGGCTTTTGTCGTCGGATGCTTTTGAAAACAAATCAGCTTCAATATCGTCGTCTTTGGTCCTGCATTTTGCCTCAGAATTGTATGTCAGTTTCCAAATGACGAACGTTTGCCTGAATGTTTTGTTTATGCTGTTTGAAACGCTATGATACTGTTTTAATGCCTGCTGACTGTGCAGCCATGCTCCAAAAATGCCACGCATGTAAGCTGCCGGTTGGAGGCTTGATTTCTCATGAAGTTCTGGCTTCCACGCCCCCCAAAACACGCAAAATTTGGCCCTAGTTTTTGTTTAGCCTACAGCAATGCCTTCAACTTGCACGAAGTACGCGTCTGAAAACAGGAGAATGCTGTTGTTCCTTACAACTAGCTCAGTAATTTTCAGTGTGCCCTCTGTTCGATTTTTTGGTAATGCAGTTGGTCTATAGCCGATTGGCACGCTGCAATCCCCTCCTGCAGTGGTACACTAGAATAGAAATTATGCACCTAGTCTTCGATCAGATCACGGAGTGCTAGATTTGCTTTTCTAGATAAGTCACCTTTGGCCTCTGGTCCTGTCTCCTGTGCCAGTACCCCCGTAGGCGCATCAAACGTTCCCGCTCTTGAAGGTCGGCGATCATTTCAGTAGTTCATGGCTTCTTAATCTGGACAAAGTTCTAGCCTTTGTTTAAAACCTAAAGACATGTAGACATGAAGACGTCGGACCAAGAAAGAGCCACGAGGGACCATTCAGGTTAGCCTACCCTAGGTGTCTAACCCATTCTTGAACTAATCTTACCGCCTGACCTGCCTGAATTTGGCCATAAATGAGATCATTAGAACTCGTGCAAATGGTTTTATAATGTTACTGGGGAAGGACTTCCTACAACTTCGTTTGGCAGTCCATTTCAATGTTTCACTATTCTTAACTAGATGACACCTGCCTCTCCGTAGCTTTACTTCTGCCTTTTGCTGATTAAAAGTGGCTTTCTCTAAGCCTCGGCCTAAATTTCCAATGCTGCTTGTAGATCTACTTTGTCTATCTCTTTCGTTATCTTGAAATCCCCTCTAAGTCTATGGCATTTCAGTGAGTACAAATCCAAGACCCTAGGCCTATCCTTATATTCTAAGCTGCCAATCCCATTTATCATCTTAGTTGCTTTTCGCTGTACTCTCTCAAGCCTATCTATATCTTCTTGGAAGCGGGGGGCGGCAAATCTGTACGCAATACTTTAGGTGTGGTTTGACATAGGCTAAGTACAACTTTTTGATAACATTTCGTCCCTTGGAATGGACTTCTCTGTTAATAAAACCCAGCATCCGAAGTGGCTTGCCCCTAGGAGCCCCACAATGCTTTTCGGCCCTTAAACTCGTGAAAATTATAACCTGTGTGTATAACCAAGTGGTTTCCGTCCTCGATCTGGTCCAACCACCGGTCTTCCAATTTATAGCTAATGCCCTCACTGCCAGAACCACCTAAATGCCTCACACTTATCATAATCAGATTACATCTGCCACAGACAAGCCCAGGTCACCAGTTTCTCTATGTCAAGTTTCACCTGCTCTGCCTTTTGCGACTCCCCTGTAATTCATTGTCGTCAGTAAGTTTAAGTACCTTACTTTCTAATCCTATCGCAAAACTATTCACACAAATTATAAAGAGCAACGCATCCAACTCCGACCCCTGTGGAACCTCGCTCTCTACTAGCCCCCACGGATATTTCGTACCATTGAGCACTTCTCTTTGCTTTCTGTCTTGCAGCAGAGCCCCTACTCAGCCAAAAACTTTTCCTGCAATACCATGCAATTTTAGCCGAGATAAGAGACGTTGGTATGGCACCTTATCAACTGCCTTACTTAAATATAGATAAACGACGTCTAAACTATTGCGTTCATGTATCTGACTAGTAACATGTTCCATGAATTCCAGAAGACTTGTTAAGCGTGACCTACCAGAAAGAAGTCATGCCATCTACTTTTTATCAACTGATGTATATCTTTATTAGGGGCAATTCAACTTTGATAGAGACAATTCAGAGGACGTTAATTTCCTCGATAGATTGATGACCTTCAACATTTCTCGCTACTGTTGATGCTGATGCTCTTGTCACCGCCGTCGCTGCTGGGGCTCCTGGTGCGTCCGTTGCCGCTGGTACTTCTGCTGCTCGCGCCCCTGCTTCTATTCCGGGTCCTGTTCTCACCCTTGCTACTGCTGCTCTCTCTCTGGTGCTGGTGCTGCTGTTAGTAGTGCTCCTGCTGCTGCTCCTAGTACTTCTGCTGGCCGTGTTGCTGCTGATCGTGCCCAAAAACCCCAGTCCCCACCCAAAATGCCAGATTTGGCCCGCTTGTTTCGAGAGAGCATGGCATTCTTCACTTATTTTAATGTGTCACCTTTTTCAGCTGCAACCGGATCCAGAAGCTACCAGAAAATGCAATAAACTGAAGAAACCGAACGTTAACTAACTGCATTGAATAACCCACCGGCGCTGTTCAATTTACTCTGGTTCAGTGGAATTTCTCTAAGCTGATAGCCGTCAAGGGCCTCGCCGATTTTTTTTTTGGGGGGGGTTGGGTGGGTGGGTGGGTCCACAGAGATATTAAGGAGAACCCCCCGGATTGAACGTAGCTTCTAGATTGGAATGGGGTCGAAAAGTTGTACTGACTTGTCCTTATCATGTTCGTCTAAAGGCGTTCAACCCTTATTCAGAATGGAACATTGAAACAACTATAGATCAGTTCTGAATGTAGGCGCCCACAAGTCTTATAAACAGACGCACCGACAGTTGCAGTCTCCCCAGGCCGCGCAGCGTTGCTCCCGTGGCTAACATTAGACTTTGGTAACGTGAACGGATTATCATTTAGAGCACTGCGAACCCTTAGAGCTATGGTGGCATCTCAATTTTCGTCTTGCTCTGACTACTCAGAGGACATTCCCAAAATTCTACAGGTGAAATATACGCCCCAGTCCATGTTTGAAACGTAACAAATGATTTTGTGAGACTGACGGAAGAATTCTTTCGCGACACATGGTCGTTTCGCGCGTCCAGCGCCCACCGTATGTTATTATCTGCGGCGGCCAACTCCGCTGGTTTGGCGAAAACTACAACACCGGACATCGATGTTTTTGCTGCTAAAGCTCGCGCGTGCGAACACTCAGTTTTTTTTACACGATTGGTTTCTCCAACCGATTCTGAAAAGGAATGGTCATCCCCATGCAAACGTAGGCAGGTCATGCTGATACAAAGATTTGACCTCATTCGAATCCACCGTATAGAACACGAAGGAGACACCTTACCTTTCCTGGGCGAGGGGCTCCGTGGGTAGCACACTGTGGAACACCTTACCTTTCGTGGGCGAGAGGCTCCGTGGGCAGCACACTGTGGAACACCTTACCTTTCGCGGGCGAGGGGCTCCGTGGGCAGCATACTGTAAAACACCTTACCTTTCCTGGTCATGGGCTAAAGGACTCTTCCTTCCCCACCCAGCGTACCTTTCAGCTGTCTTTCGGACGAAAAGGGGGCCGGGCCCCCTGGTCGATTCAAAAGCCCTCAGAGGGATACATGACGCATCTGTCCCCTCCCTGATGCAAGAGGTCCCCTGATCAAGCCAGTTGGACCCGGATCAGCGCAGAAGCCCTCACGGGCGCAGAAGCATCCCTTACGGGCGTAAGGGTCAGTCAGATTGGCGCAGGGACTCCAGCGCGGCTCATCAGACCTCGAAATAAAATGTAGTGGAGGGCCTCCTTGGCACTGGGGCCCCTAACTGACACAGAACCAGGGACGACGCAACAGGGGGGGGGGAGGGGGGGGGGCGGGTAGGAGTAGTTCCCCCCACCGCTGGCTGGCAAGGGTCAA